TGGGGTTTGGGGTTTGGGGGGCTGGCGTTCCTGACCCAAAACCCTAAGCTCTAACCCTGAACCTTCAACCCTAAGGTTTAAGACCTTGAAGCCCCCGGGGCCGTCAATTGCTTTTTCGGGGTTTAGGGGTTTAGGGGTTTAGGGTTTAGGGTTTAAGGTTTAGAGTTTAAGGTTTAGGGCTCTAGAGTTGAAGAGTGAGTGAGGGGGGTTGGGAGATTTGGGGGATGAGCTTTGAGGCTTTAGTTTGAGGGTTTAATGGTTTGAGGGTTTTGTGGTTTAGGGTTGAGGGGTTTAGGGGTTTAGGGGTTTAGGGGTTTAGGGGTTTAGGGGGTTAGGGGGTTAGGGGTTTAGGGGTTTAGGGGTTTAGGGGCTTAGGGGTTTAGGGGCTTAGGGGTTTAGGGGCTTTAAGGCGTCAAGGGTGGCTTTAGGCATTTCGCCGATGCCAAGGCCTGCATTGGCATCACCTTCCCGGCCGGCGACACGGTGGAGCGGATCTACTCCTCGATTCTCAAAAACAGTTCGGGGCCCTAGGTCAGACGAGCGCTGGTTTAGGGGTTCAGAGTTTAGGGTTTAGGGTTCTGGGTTGAGGGTTTAAGGTTGCGGGCTTCGGGTGTAGGGTGTGCATCAGTGTACACGCGCGAACGCGCGTGCGCGCGCGCGCGCGCGCGCGCGAGCGCGCGGGGGCGCGCGGGGGCCTTTCTTGAGAGTTTGGGGCGCCCTCCCGATTGCGGAGGCTTCTTGTTCTTGTTATTCGCACGCCTTGCCAACCCTGTGCGGATGCAACTCCAAATGCCCCCAATGGGGGTAGTACAGGCCCTGACCGGCCCCTGTCAACTTTAATTACCCTCCGAGGCCCGTAGATTCGTGCACGGACAGGGCATGGGGATCAGCAGCGGTACCCACCTCCCCTTCTTTCGTAGGGGTCATGTTCACGACAAAAAGCACCACTACAGTAGAAGCCCGAAACCCTAAACCCTACACCTTGATCCCAAGAACCTGATGTGCTCAGACAGCTCGCAGGCTTCTTGGGCTTTGACAATGCCGAAGCCTGAGCCTGCCAGATAGGGTTCAGGAGTTTAGGGTTCAAGGGTTTCGGTTTTCGGGTCTAGAGTTCAGGAAAAGGGTTTGGGGCAGCTTTGAAGGTCTGTATCTCTCGAGTTCGTTTCATGTTTAGTTTGTCTGTACTTCTTGCGCTTTTTCAATTTATTGTGATCCCTAAACCCTAAACCCTAAACCCTAAAACCTAAACCCTAAACCCTAAACCCTAATTCTTGTTGCGTGGGAGGAACCAGAGGAAGCTCGTGATTGCTGGGGTTTAGGGCTTCTGACGGCCGGAAGCAGCACTCCTTCCTTGAGCCTTGGCACTTCCTAGGGGTGTCTTGCTGGGCCGATATGCCCAAAACGCAACCCGACAGCTAAACCCAAAACCCCACACGCCAAACCCTAAGTCCCCCAACCCTAAACCCGATGGGGTTTAGGGTTTAGGGTTTAGGATTTAGGGTTTAGGGTTTAGGGTTTAGGGTTTAGGGTTTAGGGCGACCCTACACCCCCTATCTTTCGCCAGCGTCTCGGCCCAGGCCGTGCAGGAGGCCAGCTTGCAGCTGCCGCAGGTCACCATGAGCCTTCACCAGGCCAAGGGTCGACGAAAAACGTGAGGGCTGCAAGCTGTGTAGGGTTTAGGGTTTAGGGTTTAGGGTTTAGGGTTTAGGGTTTAGGGTTTAGGGTTTAGGGTTTAGGGTTTAGGGTTTAGGGTTTAGGGTTTAGGGTTTAGGGTTTAGGGCCAAGAGTCAACGTAAGGGCTGCAAAGCCGTGGGCCGCAAGCTCCTACATCCAATAAGCCCTAAACAGTTTAGGGTCTAGGGTTTAGGGTTTAGGGTTTAGGGCCCAGGACTTAGGGCCTAGGGCTTCGGGCTTAGGGCTTAGGTGATTGCTAGGGTTTAGGGTTCGTCTATGATATCATGGACAATTTCCATTATCTCAAGCTTTAAGGACCATGCTAATCATGCCAACCCCCACAAGGGGCCCATATTTAGGTCAACGCTCCCCACCCTCCTCCCCAAAGTTGCCCCAGTTTCCGGTCGCAGGAAGTTTGCTCATGTTGCCTGCTGTTGCGAAGAGAAGCCCAACTCCCTAAACCGTTGACCTAATCCCTAAACCCTGAACCCTAAACCCTTGAACCCAAAGCCGAAACCCCCAAGAAGCCCCCAAGCTCTTTCTCAAGGCCAGGGGTTTAGGGTTTAGGGTTTAGGTTTAGGGTTTAGGGCCCAAACCCCAGAAGGCCCAAGCCCTTTGGGTCAGGCTGTGTTGGACAACCTGCCGCCGACGCCGACGAAGTTTCCCTGGCGAGTGGCTGGTTCGAGGGCATCATGGGGGTTAAGGCTTAAGGGGTTTAGGGATTAAGAGGTTTATAGGGGTGGTATGAGTGTTTATGTTTAAGCATTTCGAGGTTTTGGGGTACTGGGTTGTTTATGGTTTAGAGCTCATGGGGTGCCTACATCGCGGCTGTTTGGACACACGCGCCCGCAGCCTACTGGCTGAAGCTGTTGCATGACCTTAGGATCATCTCCGCTGGCGCTTTCTTTTATTGCAGCCGCCTGATGGAATACCGCGTTGCGCAAACCCTAAACCCGAACCTCCAGACGCAAATTATCCCTGGTGTAGGGTTTCCGCGGGGCCCCTATGCCCTAAACCCGAAAATCCTAAGCCATCCCAAGCCCGAAAGCCTTGGGCCTTGAAACGCGATGCCGCCGTCTCCTGCCGTGGAGAAGCTGAAGCCGAGATGGGAGGCGTGTTGCATGGGCCGCGCTGTTTGGGCACAGGGTTCAGGGTATAGGGGTTTAGGGTGCAGGGTTTAGGGTGTAGGGTTCAGAGTTCAGATTTAGAGTAGAGAGGTCTTTGGCTTCGCGTGACATGCCGCCACCATGTTGGGGTGTGTCGGACGCGCCATGTCCACATCGTGTTTACGCTACCTTGCGAGACGCCCTAAACCCTAAACCCGAAACCCTAAACCCGAAACCCTAAACCCTAAACCCGAAACCCGAAACCCTGAACCCTAAACCCTAAACCCTAAACCCTAAACCCTAAACCTCTCAACCCCTCAACCTTGAGACCCACAACTCATGCCTCAGAGGCCCTCTGCAGCAGCCTGGGCGTGCCCACGGGCTGCAAGCAGGGTTTTAGGGTTTAGGGTTGAGGTTTTTTGGGGTTGAGGTTTTAGGGTTTATTGTTTAGGGTTTTAGGGTTTCGGGTTGAGGTTTTTAGGGTTGAGGTTTTTAGGGTTTGTTGTTTAGGGTTTAGGGTTTAGGGTTGAGGTTTGTAGGGTTGAGGCGTTTAGGGTTTATTGTTGAAACTCCCCTAGCAACACCCCTCTAAACCCGAAGCCCCAAACCCTAAACCATAAGGCCTAAACCCCGAACCCTAAACCCTAAACCTAAACCCTGCAGAACAACAAATCCAAGCCATGAAGCCCCAAGACGAAGAACCCGCAGTACCTGAATTTCTACAGCCCTCAACCCCTAGGCACTAGAACTTCAAGCCCCCCTCAACCCCAAATCCTCATAACACGCCTCAAAACCCACTAAGTCTCCAACCCCGGGGTGCAACCCTCAACCCTTAAAGCCCCTAAGCCCTCAACTACTCCCCCCCCCCCCCCCAAACACTAAACCCTAAACCCTCCCCCTGAGCCCTAAGCCCTAAACCCTAAACCCTAAACCCCATTGAGCCTGAGCCCCCTCAATCCCTAAACTCCCTCCCCTCCCTTCCTCCAAGTTCCCCTTCGGCCACGTCCACGTGGTGGCAGACGCTGGAGCGGCGCAGCGTGGCGGCAGGAGTTGTAGTTCGTAGTGCCCGAAGGGTCCAATGTACCTATATCTTATATACTTGGGCCTTAAAGGCGTTCCCATGTAGTAGCTTTGGGGCCCAAATATATACCATATGGGTACATGGACCTTTAGGGGTAGCGAGGACAGAATGGTGTACCCCTAAACCCTAAACCTTCAACCCTTAATGAGCCCTAAGTTAGCCCCTAAACCCTATCCTTCTCCGATTCATCAGTAATACCCCCCGTTTCTCGTCCCCTACCTTGTTGATCTAGTTTTTGGGACTTCGGAACCCCCAAACCATGAGGCCATAGACATTCAAGGCCCACTGAAGCCCTAAAAGCACAAGTCCCTGAAACCCGGAACTCTTCGATAAGAATATCAATAGCCATAAAGCCCAAGTATCCTCAACCATACAGACCCTAACTAAACCCTGAACCCCAAACCCCATATCTCCTGGACCATAAGACCTTGCTATTCTAAACCCTGCAGCCCTGTTACCCTGAACCCCAAAGCCCCAAACCCTAAAGGCCCTGAACCCTCAACCCTATCTGAGTGTGTTCTGAAAACTAGGATCCCAAGGCATCGAGGAATTAAGAATCGTACCCCTAAGGTTGTACCCCTGAAGGTCCTGAATACACTCCTTACCTTAGGTATCTTAGAAAGGGTCCCTAAAACCAAGGGTACAGCCTTAACCTTGGACCCTATTTACCTACAGCTTAGTAGTAATTACACTAGTGCCTATAGCTACTAGGTTTAGCCCATAAAACTGCAAAAGAGGGTGCCAGGAGGGGTGCAAGGTTCAACCCTTGGAACTCACCCTGAACCCGAAATCCGAAACCCTAAGCCCTAAGCCCTAAACCCTAAACCCTAAACCCTAAACCCTAAACCCTAAGTACACAACCCTTGCAACTCAGGCCACGGCGAGCCGCAGCGCGCCTACCACACCTTGGAGCACCTCGCCGAGATGTTCGGCTACTTCGAGGATCCCCCCCCCCCACCAGGGTTTAGGGTTTAGGGTTTAGGGTTTAGGGTTTAGGGGTGAAGCGTTTAGAGTAGGATCCTAAACCTTAGACCCCAGGTCCACCAACCGGATGTTCGGGTTTGGGGAGGGCTTGGGGGTGGTTAGTGCTTGCAGGTTGTGGGGGTTAAGGGCATCTTAGGGTGCAGCCCTAAACCCTGAACCCTGAACCCTGAACCCTGAACCCTGAACCCTAAACCTTAAACCCTGCACAAGCCCACAAGCCCCCCCCAGGATTCAGAGCTTAGGGTTTAGGAGTTTGGACATTCGGGTCTAGGGATTCGGGTTTAGGGATTCGGGCGTAGCCCTTCTAGCTCGAAGGAGCACAACGCCTCCCTGGAAGATGCCAATGCTGTCAGTTTGGCAATCTTCTTCCATGACGCCCTGGGCTAAGGCGTTTTTGGGTTTGGGGTTTAGGGCTCAGGGATTCAGGTTTAGGGTTTCGGGTTTAGGGTCTATTGTCTAGGGCTAAAGCGGTCTTGGGGCTTGGGGCTCAGACAGTTTGGGGTTTGGGGAGGCGGGGAGGGGGGAGAGGTATGTGTTAGGAGGTAGGGTTTTGGAGTCTGGGATTCAGGGGTTGACGGGCAAAGGCTATTTTGTGGGGCTCAGGCTCGGGGGCCCGTAGGTGTTTACAATGGGATTTATGGTTCACGGAATTGGGCTTTCAGAGTTTAGGATCCATGACGCCCTGGGCCAAGAGGCACATGTTGGAGGGTTAGGGCTAGGGTTTGGAGATTAGGGGCTTGGATTCAAGCAGTGTCTTTCATTTATGCCGAGAACCCTGAATACGGTAACCCGTGCCAGAGTGTTTTTGTTCAGCTTGTCTGGACACTTGGACTCATGCAGCAGTAAATCTAAAGCCCTGAACCCTAAACCTTTTAACCAAAGATCACGGTGACAAATGGAAAAAGGGATATTATACCTTAGAGTAGAGAAGTCAGTGAAGGCTCATGACCAACGACGAAGTAGGGGCGCGCCCAAGTAGGTTAGGGGTTACAGTTGCAACGGGTGGTTCTCGTATCGGCCCGTCATGAGCCTTCAAGTCCTACCAAGCCCTGAGAGCCCTAAACCCTGAAGGTTTAGGGTTTAGGGTTTAGGGTTTAGGGTTTAGGGTTTAGGGTGAGCCCCGAAACCCGAAGCCAAGGCCAGCTGCCCACGAACATGTTGAGCACCGGGAGGTTTTAGGGACAGTGACATTTTTGCCCTTCTCATACCCATGGCGGGTGTTACCATCGTCATGTCTGACAACCCTGGAACGTGGGTGACAAATGCCGAGTTGTCTCAGACGTGCTACAGTACTTGATGAGCCCCCAGTACAATCGGTTCATCGGAACGATCCCGGGAAACATGTCTCAGGATCGCTACAACTTCTTGCGCATCAATGGGGTAGCCGTTTGCCAACGTGCTAACCCGGACGCTTACAAAAGCGAAACCTGAGTGGTTAGCAGCTGCGAGATTGCATACCCATGAACCTCCAAGTGGGGCCCCAAAACCCCAAAACCCTAAACTCTAAAACCCACGAACCTCGACATAAGCATTGAGATGAGCCCAGGTGATCTACAACCCGCGCGCGGGAAGTCCTCAGTCGCCTGGCAGCCTCGCTGGCAGGGTTTGGGGTTTGGGGTTTAGGGTTTAGAGTTTAGAGTGTAGAGTTTAGGGGTTTGGGGAAGTTTTTAGTTGTAGGGCATACGAAGAAGTTTCGGACTTCAGGAAGCTCATAACCTAACTAGAGGCCTAAGTCCCGAATTTTCCGAGTAGCCCCCCCCAGCTCCAGGAACGAGAAAGATAGCGCCGACTTGTTCGACGAGTTCGCACAGGACCTGGGCGTTTCCTCGGGCTGCGTGCACCTGGACTTTTGGGGCTTCTGGGCTTCGAGTTATCGAAGCCCCTTTAGCCCCTAAGAACCCTAAGCCCGAAACCCTAAACCCTAAACCCCAAACCTGAACCCCCAGACCCTAAACCCCAAAAACCCCAAGCTCTCAAGGTCCCGAGAATTCTCAACCCCCAAGCCCAGACGCCTGAACCCTAGACTCCCTCCACCCTGCAACGTGGCAGTTGAGGGTCTGTTAGGGCGCGTTCATTTACTTAGTAGCCAGTGGTAGCCTTTGCCCTGTTTCTTCGGTTTTGGGTTCCCTCAAAGAGTAACCAAGCCCCAAAATTCCCCCCCAAATAACCGCCAAACACTAGACCCTAAACCCCGAAGGTCCTTGTAAGGGTTTAGGGTTTAGGGTTAGGGTTTAGGGTCCCTTGAAAACCTGAAGTCTTCTCTTCTTCAGGAGGCTCTCCCGCCGGGTGCGCCACCGGGGAAGGAGAAGGGCCTACAAGCCAGCAAGGCCCCGCCCCGGAAGGGTTTAGGGTTTAGGGTTTAGGGTTTAGGGTTTAGGGTTTAGGGTTTAGGGTTTAGGGCCGTCGCACCTCCTCCTACTCCTCCTCCTCCTCCAAGATCAGCTTTCTGTTGCCCAGCCTCCTTCGGTTTTTTGCGTTTGAGGGCTGTAGGGATTTAGGGTTTTGGGGTTGAGGCTTCAACCCTAAACTCCACACCCTGAACCCCAACAGGGCTTCGGGCTTTTTGGAGGCTTCCTTTTCAGGATGTTTAGGGTTTAGGGTTTAGGGTTTAAGGTTTAGGGAGAAGACCTCAGACCCGCAGTACGAACAAACCCTCAACTTCCTACCCCCCCCCCCCCCCTAGGTACCTTTGTGATACCCTACATACACCTCATTAAGGTACACCTGCGCCCTTATTCAGGCGGTACAAGCATTAGACCCTAAACCTCTGCTGCCCCTTTAATTATCACGGGTAATTGAGGGGAGCCCGGGGCCCAGGAGGCCCTAGACCCCAGAAGGTTTAGGGTTCAGGGTTCAGGGTTTAGGGTTTAGGGTTTAGGGTTTAGGGTTCAGGGTTTAGGGTTTTGGGTTTTGGGTTTAGGGTTCAGGGTTTCGGGTTTAGAGTACAAGTCTTCCGCAAGCCGCAAGGTCAGAAGATGGATTGCCGATGCCTTACACCGGCTCGGGAAGAAAGGGTTTTGTGGGTTTAGGGTTTAGGGTTCAGGGTTTAGGGGAATTCAATTCGAGTGTAGCCCGGGTTGTCTTATAGGCTTAGGGCTCATATTTTTTGGGGTCGAGCAACAGGGTTTGGGAGCGTAGGGTGGAGCCTGTCTAGGGCCTTGTGGGTTTAGGGTAAGCGGTTACTTGGGGTTCTGGGTATGGGCTCCATAGGGTTTAGGGTGTAGAGGTGGTTCCAAACGTCAGACATAGGGTTTAGGGTTTAGGGTTTAGGGTTTAGGGTTTAGGGTTTAGGGTTTAGGGTTTACGCCGTCTCCGGGCTGGTCCAGAGCCACTCATGATGGGGATGCGCCCAGGGAGGGTTCGGTGCACAGAGAAACCCGAATATCCCTACACCCCCAAAACATCAACCCCCAAACCTACATCCAACCCTAGACCCAAGAACCAAAAGCCCAAACCCACTTCCAACCCTAAATCCTAAGCCCCGAAAGCCCCAAATCCCTGGGTTTTGGAATACTATACTTTAATACATTTGTGGTTCTGTTTGTTCTAAATAGCTACTTATGCCCGAAAAAGTCTGCACTTTTTTTCAGGGTCTACTCCGTAGTAGGGATCCTGAATCCCAGGCAGGAACGCATCGGAGCGTGACTCGCGTGAGCCGCCCGAAACCCGACACCCTACGCGCCTGCACCCCAAGCCCTACACCCGGTATGCCGGTTTAGGGTTTAGGGGTTAGGGTTTAGGGTTTAGGCTTTAGGCTTTAGGGTTTAGGGTTTAGGGTTTAGGATTAATCCAAAAATCCAAGCCACAAACCCTAAAGCAAGGAGCAGACGGCACACCACAAGTGCACAGACAGCGATGAGATGGACTGCAAGCTCTTCATGGACGCGCGGCTTTGATCCAGGGCACAGAGGGTCTTTCGGTTTGGGCTTAGGGTGATGGTTAAGCGCATACTGATCACCCTAACCCTAAACCGAAACCCTACTTGGAGGTTCATGGTACTTATTAACCAGTTTTAACTGTACTTATAACCCGCTTATAAGCCCCTTAAGTGCCCTAATATGGTTGTAATTGGGTCATACGTACAGCTATCATTGGTACCCTGAACCTCCAAGTAGACCCTAAATTCTCTATCCTAAACCCTAAACCCTCAACCCTGGGGTGTTTCAATTGGGTTGTGGGCAATCGGGGTTCACGATCTGCAGAAGATGCTTGCACATCCCGCCAGGCTCTGGGACGAAACGTCAGGTCCTACACCCAACGACTTAAAGCCTCAACACCCTAAACCCTCAACCCTAAACCCTAAACCCTAAACCCTAAAACCCTAAAACCCTAAAACCCTAAAACCCTAAAACCCTAAAACCCTAAAACCCCTGCTAGCTGGCGAACCCATACCCCCATTTCCTGGAACTGCCAGCTTCGCATCTTAAACTCTGAAGCCTGTGAGCCCTGAAACCTTAAAGCCTGAAGCCGACGAACTTAGCAGGCTTAGGGTTGTTGGGTTTAGGGTTTAGGGTTTAGGGTTTAAGGTTTAGGGTCTAGGGTTTTCGGGTTTAGGTTAGGGTTTAGGGTGTAGGGTTTAGGGTTTAGGGTTTAGGGTGAATAAGCTTTCGGCGGTTGACCTTCAGAGCGCGAAAGACTTGAAGAAGCTCCAAAAGACGCACACCTTGCGAGGGCTTAGCAGGGTCTAGGGTCTGGGGTTTAAGGCTTGGAGTATTTGAAAGAGTTCCAAGGGCTTGCAGATTGAAAGGGCCTGGGGGTCACAGGGTTTTTGTCGGCTTGGAGGTTTGCATGGGGTCTGACCCTAAACCCTAAACCCTAAACCCTAAACCCTAAACCCTAAACCCTAAACCCTAAACCCTAAACCCTGTCAAGAACCTCAAAAGCACGACCTTCTGAGGACTTCGACATGGCAGTGCTGGGGAGGCCCTGGGAGCAGTACGAAGAGTACAGCCACTGGGACCACGGTTTAGGGTTTAGGGTTTAGGGTTTAGGGTTTAGGGTTTAGGGTTTAGGGTTCTGTCACAGCCGGTTTTGTTTCGGTAGTTGAGAGGTTTATGGTTTGGGGTTTAGGGTTTGGGGTTTGGGGTCTAGGGTTTCGGGTTGAGGCTTAGGGTTTGTTGCTGCTGGTACTTCAGGAGGAGTGGAAAATCGATGAGCGGAATGAAACCTACTGTTGGAAAGGGTATCTTGGCTAAGTGCTCGGATGTTCAACATGCTACCCTAAGCCCTGTACGGCATGGGACATTGAGAGTGGGCGAGGGTTGGTGCTCTAGTGACTCTAGTGTTTCGAGTCCCGGTTGCCCTAGTAGGATCTAGGATCTACAGTTTGTGGGCATCTTAGGGGTGTGCTGAGAAGGATCGCGGTCTAGCAGGTGTTTTTTTTTTCTATGTAGGGCTAAGGGCTTGGAGGGTTCTGGGATCAAAGGAGTCTACCTTAGACCCTTAAGGTGGTACCCTTACATCTAGGGCCCTTATGAAGGGCCATATTAGGAGGATCTTACGGGAGCCTCTTCCTTAGGTGTTTGGGTATGACTCCCGGGATCTATACAGATTTTGGGGTTGGGTTTTTGGGAGTCTGCAGGCTAGGGTTGTAGAGTTTAGGGTTCAGGGTTGTGGGGTTGTAGGGTCGTAGGGTCGCAGGGTTAAGGGTTTAGGGTTTAGGGTTCCTATCCCGAGACAGCCTTGATTATGGGGGGGGGGGGGGACCTAGGGGGGGTAGTGTAGAGGGGGGTAGTAGGGGGGAACCCATGAAATTCCCTGAGCCCCAAAGACCCTAAATCCTTCAGACCCGAAGCACTAATAGAGCCCCAAACCCCTCAAACCCTCTTGACCATAGAGGGGGTTTAGTTTTTTTCGGCTACGGGTGCCGGGCCAAAAACCAAGCCCTTAGCCCTGAACCACGGCCGTCAGAGCCCCTAAATTACCATAAATCCCAGAGCCCCAAAGCCTTAAATCCTACGTAGTCAGCGGAAGGCCTGCGCCCGTCAGCCCTAAAAAAGCCCAAGCCCTAAACCAGAAACCCCAAGCCCTAAACACGTCAAACCCTGAAGCCTTAAAACCCAAAAGCCTTAACGGTTTTAGGGTTCAGAGTTTAGGGCGTAGGGTTCCTTCCCTCAACCCTCAACCCTCAACCCTCAACCCTCAACCCTAAACCCTAAACCCTAAATCCTAAGCCCCCAAAACCCAAGAGCCTGAACGTAGCTTCTGAGGTCGACAGATTCGTGGGCGCCCAAGTTGCTCCCGGCCTTTCTTTCACGTTTTTGTTTAGGGTTTAGGGTTTAGGGTTTAGGGTTTAGGGTTTGGGGTTTAGGGTTTGGGGTTTGGGGTTTGGGGGTTTGGGGGTATTTAGGGTTAGGGTTTGGGTTTGGGAGCTCCCAAAACCCTAAACCCTAAACTCCCTAAACCCTAAGCTCCCTCAACCCTGGGCTCCCTCAACCCTAAACCCGAAGCCCTAACCCCCGGCCCCTCCCCCCCTCCCCCCATCCCCCTCCCCCCACCCCGTGCCCCCCTTCCCCCCACCCCCCCTTCCCACCCCTGACCCACCTGGAGGTTCATGGTACCTACTATCCCAATGATAACTGTACTTATAACACACTTACAAAGCCCCTTAAGTGCCCTAATATGGTTATAATCGGGTTATAGGTACAGTTACAATTGGGTTATTAAGTACCCCTAAACCCCTAAACCCCTAAACCCCTAAACCCCTAAACCCCTAAACCCCTAAACCCCTAAACCCCTAAACCCCTAAACCCCTAAACCCCTAAACCCCTAAACCCCTAAAAACCCTAAACCCCTAAACCCCTAAACCCCTAAACCCCTAAAAACCCCTAAACCCCAAACCCTAAACCCTAAACCCTAAACCCCAAACCCTCCGGGGTTATTAAGTACCATGAACCTCCCAGCATCCAAGGCCAGGAGTACTGCCATGTCCCGGAGGCATGCCGCTGCCTTGAGGGTTTAGGGTTTAGGGTTTAGGATTTAGGGTTTAGGGTTTAGGGTTTAGGGTTTGGGGTTTGGGGTTTGGGGTTTGGGGTTTGGGGTTTAGGGTTTAGGGTTTGGGGTTTAGGGTTTAGGGTTTAGGGTTTGGGGTTTGGGGCTTAGGGTTTAGGGTTTGGGGTTTAGGGTTTGGGGTTTAGGGTTTGGGGTTTGGGGTTTCATGGGTAGTTTATCAGTGGGGTTGAGGGTGTAGGTTTTCGGGTTTGGGGTTTAGGATGTAGGGTTTAGGGTTGAGGGTTCAGGGTTATAAGTATGGTCACTGTAGGTAGAACCTGACTTGGGATGCTTCTAACCCTACTATACCTAGTTTGCGCCTTCGGGGCTCAGGGCAGCGCGGCAATCCATGGATGTAGAGTTTAAGAATTTAGGGGCTTCGGGTTTAGAGTTTAGAGTTTAAGAATAGGGGTTTAGGGATTTAGTGGTTTAGGGTTTAGAGTTGGGGGTTTAGGGCTTCTTAGCGCATTGAGGCTTCTTTGGCTGCTTTTCGATCTTTCCTTGGAAGCTTCTCTCTTTTGGAGTCCATGTCAGAGTACACCCCGACGACGAGGAATCGTGAGGTTTCGGGGTGTGACGGTGTAAGAACCTCATGAGCAAGAGTGGGGGTTTAGAGTTTAGGGCTGATGGTTTAGGGTTTTGGTTTAGGGCTTCAGGCTTAGGGTTTGTTGTTGCTCGAAATCTGAGGTCTAGCCTGCGTGATGAATTCAGACGTTTACGGTTTAGGGTTTAGGGTTTAGGATTGAGTGTCTTGTGGATAGCGCAAGCAGAAAGGAACGAGCAGCTGTTTTTTTTTGCCCAACCCCACACCTCCCAGAGCCGTTCTACTCGGGCCCTAACCCCTAAACCCTAAACCCTAAACCCTAAACCCTAAACCCTAAACCCTAAACCCCAAACCCTAAACCCTAAACCCTAAACCCTAAACCCTAAACCCTAAACCCTAAACCCTAAACCCTAAACCCTAAACCCTAAACCCCTGCACCCTTCCAGGATCCCCTTAGGACCCTTCCGGGATCCCCTGTGACCCCGGCATTGCCACCTTTGGGATCTGCGACCCGGCACCTCGCTCAGCATGTACATCCGACAGTCAGGGTATCCGAAGCTGCGAGGAAAGGCTTATGAAATCAAGAACTTTGGGCGAGCACTTCTCTACGTTTTTGAGGCCTTTTGCAACCAGAGACTGGAGGTACATCGGCAGGTGCTCTTGATGCTTAAGCTGAATGTTCGCATGGAAGACCTACTCTCCGAGCACAAGGCCTGTTTTGCCTTCCCTGCAGCAGCAGCAGCAGCGGAATTTCGACAGTGTACTGGGGACATGCTTCTTCTGCACGCCGCGATCTCCAGACATTTTCCAGAGTGACGGGGTTGTTTCTTGAGATGTATGTGTTTTGGTTTTTGGCTCTTATCCCCTGGGACCCCTTGGGACCTTGGCTTTTAGGGTTTAGGGTTTATAGGGTTCAGGGTTAGGGTTTAGGGTTTAGGGTTTAGGGTTTAGGGTTTAGGGTTCAGGGTTCAGGGTTCAGGGTTCAGGGTTCAGGGTTCAGGGTTCAGGGTTCAGGGTTAGGGTTTAGGGTTTAGGGTGTAGGGTTTAGGGTTTAGGGTTTAGGGTTTAGGGTTTAGGGTTTAGGGTTTAGGGTTTAGGGTTTAGGGTTGTTTCCAACTCCTAAAAATGTTGAATTTGGGCCGAGACCCCCAAAAGGGAATAGGTTTGGGGGACTTTGTAAAATATTGAATTTAGGTAATTTAGGCCTAAACCGCTAAACGGAATAGAGTATTAGATGGCCCTTTGCAACCCTAAACCCCGGGCGCATGGGAGGCGATGTTCTACCTGGCACGCTCGGCGTTCCTGAAGGGCGCAGCCGCGGCGGCCCATCCGCAGGGATTCTCCCAAGGAGCCGAGGGTTTAGGGTTTGGGGTTTAGGGTTTAGGGTGTAGGGTTTAGGGTTTGCGGTTTAGGGTTTAGGATTTCGGGTTTCGGGTTTCGGGTTTCGGGTCTAGGGCAAGGAATACACCCTAAGCTGCACTGTTGAGGTTCATGTGTGCAGAGATAAGTAGGGTTGTAATTACCCATCAATAAGGTCATAGCTACAGCTTCTAAAGTACGCAGGCCTTCTTTTGAACCCGCTTATACCTCTTCAAACTACAGGGTTTCCTATTGCGACTTGAGGCGCCTTCCCGAACATATGGGCACCGGGCCTGCTGTTGCCTCTACTCCCTACACTCCACTGCACGGCACTACCAATCCTGAAACCCTAAGTCCTAACCCCGAAACCCTAAACCCTAAACCCTAAACCCTAAACCCTAAACCCTAAACCCTAAACCCTAAACCCTAAACCCTAAACCCTAAACCCTAAACCCTAAACCCTAAACCCTAAACCCTAAACCCTAAACCCTAAACCCCAACCCCTAAACCCTAAACCTTAAACCTTTAGGCTTCAGGGTGTCGAAGTTGAGGTTCGAGGTTGAGGGTTTGGGGCTTAGGGTGCTTCGGGCTTCGGGTTGAGAGCTTGGTTCGGGCTTCTTGAGGTTTGCAGGTTCTATATAATATATATATATATATTTGTATATACACATATACATATATATATATATATATACTTTTTTGTTTTTTGCTTGTTAGAGGGAGGGGGGGTTGCGAGATGCATAGCAAAGCTTCAGGACCACAGCCAGTTTGTTTGTGTTTTCTTCGGGACCTGTATGATTCTCTCTGATTGGTTTTGGGAGTGTTGCTTTGCGCCCGCTTCCGCCTCGGGTTTATGCCGAAGCGGACATGCCCTATTGAAACGACACATCCTAGAAGCCCCTGAAACCCACACTAAATATGCTGGACTACGCACGACCTGAACCAGAGGGACGAAGTAGAAGCTGAGCTCAGTCTACAGTTGGGGTGGAGCTTAAGGGTTTATGGGGTTTCTATGGGTTTCCAGGGTTTCGAGGGTTTTGTCGGCTCTGTGGGGTTTGTAGGGCTTGGGGCCATGCTTAGGGCTTCTGCCAAGGATGTCAGCTCGCCAATCTACGCCACGAAAGTGTTTCGAGACAGCCGAGCCCTTGCTTCACTTGAGCACTCAGTGTGTGTCTGTGTGTGTGTGTTCCATGAATGAATTGAATGGTTGGAATGAGCGAATGAACGTGTGAGCGAGCGAGAGAATGAGCGAGCGAGCGAGC